AAACCAAAGTACCAAACGTCATATAGTGCACAAATTCCAGAAATTTCAATGTTTTTTTTTTTTTTTTTTTTCCTTGAATAGGTCATGTTTGCTCTGAGCATTATATTTGTTACAATCTCATCAAAACAACAAATATATACACATATAAAACTAACAAAACCCGATATAGATTGACAATTCAAAAAATACTTTTCCGTATAATTCTCAATTATTATATTATCAATGTGAGAAATACCCAATACAAAATAAAAAAGAAAAGAAAAGAGAGTCGTAATATCAAAGTTCTATTACAATTGTAGAAAAAACGTAATTCATTGAATAAATTAATACAGAGGAGTTTATATAGTCAATATAACCCTACAAACATAATACTAAAAGACTAATATACCCTTACTCATAAAGAGAAATAACCAATCCTAACTTTAAAATAAAGATAAATATTGTTAACATCTCCTCTCAAACTCATGATGTGACTACAAGAAGTATCAAGAGTTTGCCAACTGAAAAAAAAAAACTAAACTAAACTAAAAATTGAAACACGACTTCACAAATAATTCTGCCACTTTATACGTATGCTAATGTCAATTTCGATGTCAATGCCAATGTCAATGTCTATGCCAATACCAATACCAAAGCTTAACATTGGCCAATCAAAGAAGAGAGAGAATACAACCAATCGAAGAGGAAGGGATAGTGCAATGCCAATACCTAATATGAGTCAATCAAGGGAAGAAGAAAAAGAATGCAAATACCACTACCTAATATGATAATGCCAGAGTCCAAACGGAAACAAGTGGAAGCGAAAACGGAAGCGAAAAACTAATTATATGACCACCGATTAGAAACTAATAATTAGACAATTGATGAAAACACAATTCTCCAAATTCGCATAAACAATTGATGAAATCCTAGGAGAACATATAAACCGAAAACCATATTCCACCATATTCCACTATTTTTTAAATCAATTCTCAAGCTACCTTGTAACTGCTAATGCCTTCAATTATGAACGACGGTAAAAACTAATGGCAATTAATCTCAATCCCATAAAGATCACTACTCTGATACCATGTGAAAAATACCCGATGCAAAATAGAAAAAGAAAAGAAACGAGAGTCGTGATGTCAAAGTTCTATTGCAATTGTAGAGAAAACTTAATTTATTGACTAAACTAACAAAGAGGAGTTTATATGGCCTATATAACCTTACAAGCATAATACTAAAAGACTAATCTACATTTACTAATAACCAAATAACCAATCATAATCATGAAATAAAGATAAATATGGTTAACAATCAAATAGCAAAAACTGATGAAGACTTGATTGATATCTAATCAGTAATATATAACATTGCAGTTGTACCAAACCCGATGCAGTGAAATTTGGTGGTTTTGCAATCGTGTAACTCTTTGTACCAACATCTAGTTCTTATGTTTTTTTTAAAACTTGCAAATTCATCTACGTGTGGAACCTTCATGAGGAAGAGTAATATTGTTGTGTCTTTTCTTGTGGGACCACTACCTTATCCAGAAGGTGGGAAAGTGCCAAAAAAACAAGAAATTAACTTCACTTGTTCACTTTACACCAAAACCCCACAACTTCATTGGTGGAGCTGATACACATATAAGTGATTTAGAGTATAATCTATACCAGTACAGGAAAAAAAGTTATTGGCTGTGAGTAGCTTTAAGAAAAAGTGATGTTTGTAATAATGTGACAGAGATAAGTCTTTTTTCTTTTGTGTGTGTGTTTTCTCCATCTGAAGTGTTAAGACTTAATTAAGAGAGTGACTAAGAAGGAGGGGGACTAGAAAGATACTAAAGTTTTCAAATGCAAAATTTGAGTATAGCTCCAGGGATGACAACGGGGCGGGAAATAATTTACCATCTTTATCCCCACCATTTAAAACTATCCCCATTCCCACCTTCATTTCCGCTTAAGAAGAGGCAGGATCAGAGTCAAAGATTCTCCGTTAGAAGGACATTCTCCGTACCCGTCTCATTTTCCGTCTAATGTAATTAAGTATTTCAAAATTATTGTAATTTAAAGTAAAAATAGTGTTGAAATTCAATAAGTTTAGACCGAAATCAAAGGTTATTCAATACAAACTAAATTTAAAACATATGCAAAAAAAAAAAAAAAAAAAAAAAAAAAATTTAGAGCTAAGGAAAGTCTTATTAAAAGTAATAATTAGCACATATCCAAAAAGTATGTGCATGTATATTTATATGAAATATATTATATTATATATAACATATGTATATCGGGGCAGGAACGGGGTGGGGAGTGCTTCCTCTTTACTGCCCCGTTAAGATTCGGGGACAAGATTTTATCCTTATCCCTTATTATTATCTTCTATTCCCGCTTTATTTAGTGCGAATCTCCTTGAGATCCGTCTCCACGGAGAATATTGTCATCCCTATTTAGCTCTAAGGGAAGGAAAAAAAAAAGTGTGTGACAAAGACATAGCACCAAGAGGGACATGTATTTTTCTTGCATGATAACCCCAAAGAGAATGTCAAGAGAAAAATAGATGGAATAGTACCATACAAGTCACTCTTGTGCAAGCAAAGCCTCTCTCTCACTTCAGCGCATAAAAACTCCCCCCATTTCCTTCCAACCTTCCACCTACCATGAACCACCAGAGCCATTTCTCCTAATGGGGTGGCTTCGGTCTCTCGTCTCCCCGTTGAAGAAGATCTGGGATCGTCTGCACTCGAACCACAGAAAACGTAATTTCCCATCTCATCACTCACTTCTTCTCTCTGTTTCTCTCATCATGATTTTCTCCGTCGCGTGTTTCACCGCGCGGGATCGTTTCACTCCGTGTTTGTTTTCTATGCTCTTTTGCTAGCTATGAATCTCCTTTTTTTCTTAATCTTCTGTTTTACAGGTAGAGGGATATATATATTGTACAAGGACGTGAAATCTTGCCCGTGCGAGGATGTGCAAGTTCTATGGTCAATACTGGTCGAATCAGGCACAAGTTCTTTGCATCAGAATGGTGGTGTCTCCCTCGCCTTGTAACAAGGAAGAAGAAAAAAAAATCACTAAAAAGGGCAAAAGGGGATGATAATTTAATCACTTGTACATGATTTCACCACATTGTACGTATACACCGTATAAACAATAATCCTTTACGTTTTTCTTGTTTTCGTAATAAGCTCTGTATCATACGGATTTCCAGAAGCTGAGGCTTTTGTGCTTGTTTATTAACTAGATCGCTCTTACTTGTGGCCTTTTTCTCCTCTTAATTATTTGATCTCCTGTGGATTTCTTTTAGTAATTGGAATTGTTAATACAAAAGATTTGAAAATTAAAGAAAACGTGTGATGTAAATCTATCACTGTGTGAAAGCTACTTTGCACCAGTGATTGCTAAAGGCTATCATAAGAAACCTAATTTTTGGGGTGTCGGCATTGAGCTTAGCAGGTATGAAGTGGTGGCATTTCTCTGTTAATTCATGGCTATTAGTAGACTAAGGTCCTGTTTATTTTACCGATTTGAGTTTTACTACAGTAAAAAGCTCTAAGAAACAATCACATCTAACTTTTTTACTATAGTAAGAAGCTCTCACATAAAGTCACATCTCAACTCGAATTAAAAATACGAATCAGCGAACTAAACGGGTCCTAATAGTGATACATTTATTTAATGAGAAATACTAACAATGATAGATATATTCATTTATCCATATTAACAATGTAAAATGTGGATAAATTAACAAAAGTAAATGAATTAGCACTTAAATTGTTTTATATTAATCGTAATAGTACAGATTTAAGTAATACGTGGATTATTGACTCGAACATAATATGAAAATTTGAATCAACACAAACACGATCTAAATTGTCACATTTAACTAAGATGGTTCAATTTAAAAGGAAAAAAGTATTAGAATAATGCTTTTGTAGCGCATTTTGAAATTAAAAACGAAGCAATTTCACATTCATCACATGAAAATTTAACTTTATTTAAAAGAAATAATCAAATGACGTCAAAAGTATTATAACGTTAAGTGCTTTGTGAGTACTAAACTCATAATCAACAAGAAATTAAAACGATAAAAGAAAATTTTAATGATTAAAATTTAAAGAGAGAATCAGCGAATAATCCCATTTTAACTCATTGTTTAGTTTTCTGTGATCCTCTTGTAATTTTTGTTTTTTTTAGAGGGTGATCCTTATAATTTTGTCCTTGAGTTTTACAATGAGAAAGTGATGACTAAAAAGTGCTGAAAAAGGATATAAACGTTTATGCTCATTCACCACTACATTTACAGTTTTCTAAACATTCTTCTTGATGCTAATTGTGCTCTCCCTTTCATTTTTTTTTTCCTTTTTTCCTTTTTCTTCAATCACAACTAATAACTCTAAAAGTTAAAAAAAATTAAAAATACTCCTTAAAATGAAATCCCTTTTTATTTTTATCTCTTATTATTAGCTTATATATTTTTACTTTTTTTTATTAGGGTAGAGTTTCTTTAGTAAGTTTGGATATAGAATCTGTAATTTAAAAAAAAAATTGAGGGCTTGTTCTTTTAGAGTAAAACTCAAAAGAAGTTTGAACTCAAATTATAACTTTTTTTAAGTTCATATTCGTTTGTAAAATTTGAGTTTAAACTTGATTTTTAACTTGAGTTTGGGGCTAAAATCTGAATTTAAATTTTCCCTTCAACTAAAGTTCTTAATAAAGAGACAAATAAAATTCCACCATATACCCAATTAAAATTTTTCATCACTATTGAATTTTTATTAAAATACTATTTAAATATAAATTTAAATTTTTTCTCACTCAAATATAAACTTAAATAGATTTTCAATTTAAATCATAACTCAAATGTGCACATCTACGTACAAACTCAAATTATAACTTCAACTCGAACCTCAGACATTGGGGTGTTGTTCCTCGTGGGCCGTTACCCGTACTATCCAGCCCAATCAACCAACTCTAAAACCCTCTCTTCTTGATTTCCATTTCACAACGCAGTGCCATAGGCCGAAGCTCCAAGGACGAGAGAGAGAGAGAGAAAGAGCCATGGCAGATAGTAAGGCTGTAACAATCCGTACGAGGAAATTTATGACAAATCGTCTTCTTTCTAGGAAGCAATTTGTAAGTTTTCCAGTACAAGTTCTGTTTGTTTCCCGGGAAATGTAGGAAGAAAATGCGATATAAGTTCATTCTCACAGTCTAGAGCCTAGTAGTTGAGAAAATTGAAGTTTTGTCAAATCGAAATAAATTTAAACTGTACTATGTATCTAGCTATACGTTTCTCAGTATTGTTTCTCGTTTCGATGCAGGTAATCGATGTTCTCCATCCAGGAAGACCTAATGTATCCAAGGTTTGATTTGATGTTCTTTTGAAACTGTCAATGGTGTTGCTGAGATGATTTTGACATATTACCTCTTTTCTGTAGTTTGCCTATTGAAATTTAAATGCTTTAATGTATATACTTTCTACATAATTTAGATTTCTTAAATTGGGGGAGGATTTTGTTCAATAATGTAGCTTTTGTTTTAGAGGTAATTTTGTAGATTGTAGAGGTTAACTATTGTTGATATTTCCGATTTAACCAATTTTTTTTCTTATTCAAGTTGCTTGTTTTTCTTCATTATGGTTCATATTTGTGGGTTTAAATCAGTATAAGATTTGTTCACTATCACTAGATGCACATTGCATTTTTTTCTTTTCGTTCTTTGTTTATGCGAGTTTCATTTGATTAGGTGATTGTTCTCTTTTTTTCATTGACACTTGTTTATTCCCCTTTTCTCCTTTTTGCTTTATTTTTAATCGCAGGCGGAGTTGAAGGAGAAGCTGGTGAGGATGTATGAGGTGAAGGACCAAAATTCCATCTTTGTCTTCAAGTTCCGTACCCATTTTGGAGGCGGAAAATCAACCGGATTCGGCCTAATTTATGATACTGTGGAGAATGCAAAGAAGTATGAGCCAAAGTACAGGCTGATCAGGGTATGCCATCTTATGTTCTTATTATTCATTTTCGTAATTCGAGCATTCACTGTGTGCATCATCGTATGATTGAGGAAATCCGCATTTCTGAAAATTTTCGTTTTAAAATTTGAATGTGATTGGAGATGTGAAACACGTACTTATTGATTAAGTTTCTCATCAGATGCTAAAACAATTAAGATCAACAAAGTTTGTTTTGATCTTTAACAAATGGTCGGTTTGCTTTTTTCCTTTCATAGCTGATCTGTATGATTTTCATGAGTTTGGTTTTAGTTTGCTCTCCATTTATATCAATTAAACTAGATATTGGTGTAACACTTGATAAGGTGAACAGCAAAACGGTCAAGCTTTATTTAACATGCTGTTAAGACATTATTCTGTATGTATTCTTAGCCCGTTTAGTTCGCTGATTTGAGTTTTTAATTCGAGTTGAGATGTGATTTTATGTGAGAGCTTTTTACTGTAGCAAAACTCGAATTCTAAACTCGAATCAGTGAAATGAACGGGGCTTAACGTATGCAAGATTTCACCTTTTCCTTGATATTTAGCTCACTTTGAGAACCTTGCAGAATGGACTAGATACAAAGGTCGAAAAGTCAAGGAAGCAGATGAAGGAAAGGAAGAATAGAGCCAAGAAGATCCGGGGAGTGAAAAAGGTATGACATTTAGTTTTAATTTTCCTTTTGCAGCATTAAACAATGTTGCTGCCAATCCGAGCTACATGTTATGGCCGATGTAATCCGTAAATTTCGGTTCTTGCTGCCAAGTTGCATCTTCTTGGCTCGTTCATACTTTGGAATCACACTCGTTGATTTGGGCCAGCTGTTGTATTTTTCTCTTGTTTCTTGTTCTTAATGGCTGTCGTTTTATCTCGTTTCTTACGCAGACCAAGGCAAGTGATGCTGCGAAGGGTGGAAAGAAGAAGTGAGTTTTAAGTATATTTTGGGGGTCCATGATGCCTTGGCAGAAAATTTCTTACTGTCGATCTCTTCTTCCCTTTTCTTTTCTTTTCTTTTTCTTTTTTGACCATTTGCTTAATTTCTTTCTTTTATCTTAAATTTTGTTCGGGAAACCTTCAAATTTTCGGGAAATTGTGCTCGAGAGTTGTGAGTTTTCTTTGATTTTTGTAACTTGGCACAGGAGAAAAGTTAAATTAGCTTCCCAAGAGTTTGAGCTGTGCTTTCATGTTCTCATTCTTATGTAGTGTAGTGTAAGGCGTTGCGTGTGCTAAATTCTTTGTTATTTTCTTAAAAAGACGTGGATCTTTGATTTGACAATTGTGCCAGCTGGGCAGGCAATCATTCTGAACGGAGCGAGCGAGAACAAGATTATCCTTGCATATTTCATGGAGAGAGACGAACAAATTTTTATCCTTTTCTCGGTTCTTTCCACTTATTCAATTTTAAAATTTGAATTTTGTTATAGTAAAATAATTTTAAAAATAATCACATTTAATTTTTTTATTACAGTATAAAATTATCACATAAAATTACATATAAATTTAAATTAAAAATTTAAATTAGTAAACTAAATGAATTTTTAGTGGGCACCGATAGTACTATTTACTAATAAAAAGTGGTCTCGTAATATTTAACAGCGCACCCCAAACATTTTTTTTTCCCTTTTCCCCCATTTTGTTGTCTGTGCCCCGATAGGAAGGTAGTGTAGACTTTCTGCAGCCAAATAATGGCAATCTTGCATATAAAGCATTAACTATATTCCAGATTTGATGAAGTCTCTTTATAAAAAAAAAAAAAAAAAAAAAAAAAAAAAATTTTAAAACCTATTGCCCTCAAAAAATTATGGTGCCCTAGTCCTTCTAAAAGAAATAAGGATCAATTTCAACGTGAAACAGTCTCTCTAAAAAAGTACGCAGTTAAATTTATCTTTAGAAATTCTTGTTTTTTCGTCCAATTTCTTATGATTATACGTGTTAGGCAGCATTTCCGGAATCATTAAATGTGCAACAAATCCAAAGGCTTGTCCGAGCCCAAGCTCTCCCGAGCTGAAAGTTCAAAGGTCGCGTGATGTTATAAAGTGAAGTAACCAACGCTAATTGAAGACATTGAATGGTTGAAAGTTAATAAGGAACGATAAAATGTAGATACAAAATCCATGTGGGTTACTAATTGCTACTTACTGGCCTTTGTGAAAGGTTATTTTCTTGATCACCAATAAATCGATTGGACCACACCACGAAGAGGCGGTAACATATACAGCAGTAATTTTATTGAGGATTAACTCAAATATTATCTTTTTACAGTTTTCATAAACTCAAATCTTTTCTTTTTCTAAAGCAAAGAAAAAAAAAAACCTTCTCTTTATCGTAAACAAAAGAAAGGCATTGGAGAAGAAAATTGTAGTATTTTTTTTTTTTTTTTGAAGTAAGAGAAAAGGTGTAATGGTAAAGTATTTCGCAGAGTTAGTTATTCTAAGCAGAAACAAATCAATGAATCATGCAAAATAGAAGTAGAATAATAAAAAATGAACGCGCTGGTGCAACTATTCTATCACAAAACGTGTGATGGTTTTTTTTTTTTTGACGAAATATATGATGGACCTTTTTATAGTAGTAGTTACTAGTTAGAAAAAAAAACCTCACTAATCATGCAAATGTTGAAAAAGGATAAAAAAAATAAACTAATCCTGCAAATGTAAAACAAGGATATAAAGGACAAAAATTCGTGCAACTATTCTACGACATTGCCCACCATATTTGATGGAACTTTTTTTTTTGGTAATAAGATATTAAATAATATAATCATACGGAATTTATTATTAATATAACTATTAACGTCCAATCACGTTGGAATAAAATAAATATGAGAGTTTCTCAAGTAAGATCATACAGATAATTCTCTACTTTTTAACCGTCAAGTTCATATTAAAATTTATTTATCTACGTATATTTTTTAATATAACGTAATTTAAACAGTTTTAAAGATCAAAAATTAACTTACCAGTGAAAATGTCGGGTGAAATCTCAACAAATATATGAAGATCTCACATTTTGGTATCTTACAAAAATTCAACCAACTCATAGACATGAAACGAACGCATTACTTCAAAACCATGTTATATGGTTTATTCTTTCCTCGATTTGGATTTCATTACTTTAAAAGACTTGTTTAGTTCGTCAATTTGAGTTGAAATGTGAATTTATATGAGAGTTTTTTATTGTAACAAAAAAATTAAATGTGATTATATATAAAATTTTTTAACTATAATAAAATTTAAATTTTAAACTCAAATCAAAAGACGTTTAGTTCATGGATTATAATCATGATATTAGAACTAATTTTAATTTACGTGTATTTTTTATAAAAAAAATACTGTAATAAATCACGAATCATAATTTGAATCGAAATACGAATCCCAAACTAAAATATTTTTTTTTGCTCCCTTCCAACAAAATTTCAAAATGTGCTCAAAACAGACGAGCGTTTATTTTTTCTTGGGGTTTGGAGATGTGGGCCAACTGCTGCACAAGTAACACGACCAAGAGAGACAATTTATCGAGAGGAAAAGTCGTATTTTAGATTCTTATAATTAAAAATTAATTTCTCATTTATGGAGGGAAAATAAGAAATCGGAAGCTGCTTTTTTAGAAAGGCGGAATTGACGATCCCGCCCATGATCCTAGTCCCAGCCTTTGCCCTCACACCCCCCTCCCAACTACGCCCTCTCCCCCTCTCTCCCTCTCTCTCTCTCTCATCTCTCCGTCTCTCTCTCTCCTCTCTCCCTCTCTCCTCTCTCTCCCCTCTCTCCATCTCTCTCTAGAGTCTAAACCCAAAATCCGTCTCCGATTTCGTCTTCGAATCGCATAAGCTTCTCGTGAAATCGCAGGATCATGGTACATTGTAAGAGCTCCATTGCGATTCCTTTCCTCTGATCTGGTTTTCTCTTTACTGCTATTTCCTTTTGGTTGCTCTGATTTTGTTTCTGTTTTCCGTTTCGTTTGTTACAGGGCAAGGGTTTAATTTGCGTTTTCTATGGAGCGTTTTTCTGTTTTTTTGAATGGGTGAATGCGATTATCTGTGCTTAGTTTGGCTCGGCGAAGTTGGTTTAGACTGAAACTGGGTTTTATGATTCCCTTTTTTGCGCAGTTCTTTGCGAGATGAGAGAGGGCTTGAGATCTGGGAAGTTAAATGTGAAGGACGGTGGGAACAGTGGGAAAGGATGTCAAGAACACCGTTTAGGTTCTGATTCTAAGGGTGAAAAGGTTACGCACTTGGCTTCCGGCAGTCCGGAGACGGAGAGGGAGTCTTCGGGCCTGCGAATTGGGGGGAAGAATGGTGAGTTGGACAATGAGGGGTTTGAAGAAGGAAGTGGTGGTGGTGGTGGTGGTGATGGTGGAAGTGGAAAGGTTGGAGTAGCTGATAGTGTTAGGAAGAGGAAGCGAGTGGATGGGGGTGAAGAAATTGGCAATGGTGATATTGTGGAAAAGAAGGCAAAGGAGGAAGTAGAAGAGGTTAATGATAAATCACCGGTTTACCGTAGGGTTTTGCGATCGAGTGTTGTGATGAATGGTGGGTATAGTAAAGTGGGGAGTGAGGGTGTTTTGGATCAGAAGAGTAGTGGTGATGATGGTTGTGAGAAGAAATTGGTTGAGGAGAGAAAGGGGAAGTGTGATGAGTTGGTAAATAAGCGCGGAGGGAAGTTAAAACGAAAGCGTGGTAGACCGCCGTTGGCAAAAAACATAGAGAGTGATGGCAGTGGGTCGAAGGAGTTGAAAGTTAAGCGTGGGAGACCCTGCAAGGTGGAAAAGGAAGAGCATGGCTCATTAGCATCGGATGGTGGGTTGAGGAAGAGGTCAAAAGGTAAGCGTGGGAGACCCCGCAAAGTGCAAGAGGGAAATGGAGCGTTGAAGCGTAAGCGTGGGAAACCCCTTAAAGTGCAAGAGAGCAGTGGAGTTATGAAACGTAAGCTTGGGAGACCCCCAAAAGTGCAAGACAGAAATGGAGCCTTGCGACTTAAGCTTGGGAGGGCATGTAAAGTGGAAAAATCAGAGCGTAGTACATCAGAATCTGATGGTCGATTGAACAAGAAGTTGAAGCCTGAGCATGGCAGACCCGTCAAGGTGCAAGAGGGAAATGAAGTTTTGAAGGGAGATGATGACAAGGAAGGAGAAGTAAGTGCGGAAGACAAAGAACACAATCCATTGGAGTCCGATGGTCTATTGAAGAAGAAATTGACATGCAAGCCAGGGAGACCACCGAATATGCAAGAGAGCAATGGGGTTTTGAAGGGGGATGGTGATAAGGAAGAAAAGGTAAGTAAGGAAAACAAAAGGGATTTTGAATCACAAAGTAAAACCAAGCAAAATGTGTCAGCTTCCTTGCAAGAGAGCAATGGCGGGGTTGTTGATAAGGACAGAGAAGGAAATACAAAAGAAAGAAGGGGTTTGGAAATGCAAGAAAGAACTAAGCAAAATGTTCCAGCTTACTTTTCTTACCTGGAAAGAGTTCTTATTGGTAAAGAATTGAATATGAGGAGATTTCCATCCACAAAGGAGAGAAAAAACGGGGCAGATTCGGAGACCAGAGAAAATGATGGCTTATCAGATAAGATATCCAATACAGTCTATGCAGTTAGCCTTAAGAACCAGAAGGTTGTTAATAAAAGAAAAATTACAACGAAGGATGAAGATGTGGAACCAGGTAAAAGGATGGTAAAGCAGTCAGTGCGAGATAAGATTGTAGAAGTACTTTTGACTGCAGGCTGGACAATTGAACGTAGGCCTAGGGCTGAGAAACAATATCTTGACGCAGTGTACGTTACTCCACAAGGGCATACTCACTGGTCTGTCACCAAGGCTTATAAGTACCTTAAAAAGCATTATGAAAATGGGGATGGCGAATCTAAGGTTTACAAAACTGGTTTCAAATTTATTCCTATACCAGAGGAGGAGCTCAGTATACTAACAAAAGTTATTGTTAAAAGAAGAATGTGGAAAAAGAAGTTGATGCCAACGGAGGAAGATTGTGGAAGGGCAAATGGTAATGTTTTGAGCAAGAAAAAGTTCAAAAAGAAACTGGTTGGAAAGTCACAGAGAGGGAGGACCAAGGGAAAATCTTTGCTTCCAGATCATAAAAATTCAGCTAAGCACAAGGGTATGCCAGTTGTGGCCCGAAATCCGAAACAACATTGCAGACGAAATGGTAAACGCCCTACTCTTTTGGTTCGCAACTCCATGGAGGAGGCAGATTCAGATGCTGATGGCTATATTCCATATGCTGGGAAAAGAACTGTGCTTGCCTGGATGATTGATTCGGGCACTGTTTCACTCAATGAGAAGGTGCAGTACATGAATTACAGAAAGACAAGAGCGTTACGGGAGGGTAGAATAACAAACGATGGCATTTGTTGTGACTGCTGTAGTGAAACCTTAACAACTTTAGAATTTGAAATCCACGCGGGAAGTAGACTCTGTGAGCCATTTAAAAACATATGTCTAGAGTCTGGAACTTCCCTCTTGCAATGCTTGTTAGACTCGTGGAATAAACAACATGAATCTGAACGCGAGGGATTTCTTTATTTAGATGTCAATGGTGAAGACCCAAATGATGATGCGTGTGGTATATGCGGAGATGGTGGAGACTTGATCTGTTGCGACGGTTGTCCATCAACATTCCATCAGAGTTGTTTGGATATACAAGTATATGAATCTCATCCAAATCTATTTCTTTTTGAAGTGTATTGTTATATTGTATATATATTACTTATATAGGGTTTTAATCACATGCACGGTGAAGTTGCCATGTTATGGTCTTTCTTGCCACCTTATAGGTTAAAGGGTTTAGTTTGTCTTTACAATGTTAACACAAGCTCCCCATGTAGTATGATTCTAGTACTCTATTTGATGGCACTTTGACAACCCAAAGTCTACTACACAAACTCTTTTTATTAATCCAAAGGACAGTAGTGGGGTACAAAATAGCGGGGACGGGGAGACATAAATGCTCTTTTCAGTCCAACTATACTACGCATGGGCTGAGTTCAGTTTATATTTGCATGTTTTTGCTTCTTTTCTCTGTGTGTGTGTGTGTGGCAAACTGAGATCTGTAAATAGTCTCGACACAGCAAGTTTAATTGAAGGGGAAGTGACCGGTTAAGTTTGTTCTATACTAACATGATACTTGCTCTTGAATCATAGGAAGATGTCTAAAAGCTTGGATTCTTTTTGCAGTTTGTTCATGAGGAAATTTGTCCTAGCATTTCCTGTAGCAAATAAGATCATTTTTTTTTTCTTTTTCTGTATGTCTTTTGGCAGAAGTTCCCTTCTGGTGATTGGCATTGTGTGTATTGTTCATGCAAATTTTGTTGGATGGCTGGTCGCAATGAATGTCAAGAGGATGATAATGATAATTTGGCTGCATTGGAGTTACTTACATGCCAGTTCTGCGAGGAAAAATGTACAATTCTAACTTCAATACTTGTTCATTTGATCAATATTGTTGCAAGAAATGTTAATGATTTTTAACCTGCTGTAGATCATCGATCCTGTAGTAAGGCAAAAGATGCTGAATCTGTTTATTCCAATTCGTCCTTCTGTGGGAAGAAATGTGAAGAGGTATTATTTTTATGGGTACTCTACAATGTAACTTGAATTTGCATGGTAGTAATAGCTGTAAAATCGCAGTTTTATGTAATTTGGCACATCACGTCTAAGTGAGGAATGTTTATATGCGTGTTGGAAGGCCAGCAATTTTTTATCATAAAATTTGCCAAATTCTGGGGTATGCATGAATAATGGTTTGATTTCATTGTCGCCGCAAGGCGAAATGATTTTCTCCTCTTAAGAAAACTATACTTCCCATTTGAATGAATTGTGGATCTGATTTTTATTTTTATTTTTTTCCCCTTGGCAATGATTATTGCTGTTTTTGTTCTGCCAGCTGTTTAAGAAACTGAAGATACTTCTTGGGGTTAAACATGATCTGGAAGAAGGTTTCTCATGGACTCTTGTTCGCCGAGCCGATATCGACCCAAGTATTTTTTTAAATGATATACCTCAGAAGTGTGATGCAGCACAGGAAATCGAATGCAATTCCAAGCTAGCTGTTGCATTGTCAGTAATGGATGAGTGCTTTCTGCCTCTTGTTGACAATAGAAGCGGGGTCAATCTGATACATAATATTGTCTATAATTGTGGGTAGGAACACTTTATCCATTGTTATCTAGATATTGAATTTCGTATTGTACTTTTTTCCCCCTGGTAATTTGTTATTCTTCTCGCAACAGGTCTAATTTTAACCGTCTGAATTATCGTGGATTTTTCACTGCAATTCTAGAGAGAGGTGATGAGATGGTCTGTGCAGCTTCTATACGGTATGTGCTGATATTTACTTCCATAAGTTTGTAATTCCCCACTGTTAAACATTACTTAATTTCTGGTCTATTGTGATTCCAGCACAATCATTTTAATATCCATGATTGCAATTGCCTATTACATGGAACAACAGGATCCATGGAGATCAATTAGCAGAAATGCCATTCATTGGGACCCGTTATATGTACAGACGCCAAGGAATGTGCCGTCGGCTTCTAAGCGTAATTGAATCGGTGCGTTCATTGATTTTCAACAATGTTTTGTGACAATATCTCGTCTTAGTTTACTGATTTCAGACTCATTATTCCTTCACCAGGTCCTCTGTTCTCTAGACGTTGAGAAATTGGTCATTCCTGCCATCTCTGAACTTAAGGAAACATGGACCTCAGTATTTAGTTTCAGGCCCCTTGAAGTCTCGAGCAAGCATAAAATGAAAAATATTAATATGATGGTTTTCCCACACATTCAGATGTTGGAGAAACCAATGTTGAAGCTTCAGACTGCAGAAGAAAAAATGATTGTGGTGGAAGGTAATTATGTCATTCTGTTTTCTTTGATTTTATTTTTGTGAGCATGAAAACTGGAAAGTATTTGACACATGGAACGCGCAAACTTACCACAGGTCTGGAGTCTACTGAACTTCAGGAGCACCAGAGCAAGGAGGAAGTAATGTGTGAAGTTGCACCTCATGGAGTTGGGATAAATGAACCTGTTGTTGAATCCAGTTTGCAGATTCCTGATGGCTCCTTGAAGGAAACTGATGGAAAATGTTTGGGTGAGTTTGATGTGCCTCGAGATAATCTTGAAGATGAAAACGAAACCATCATGGACCCTTCAGGTTCAATAAGCGGTCTTTGTGAACAGACTGATAAAGATACCACTGAATATAAGAAAGCTAGTTCTGGTTCAACCCCTCCGGTTCTTGATCAGAGGGTAGTGGAGTTGAGCAGCCAATCAAACCAGCGTTGTATTTCTGAAAAGGATAGCAAGTCTTTTGTTTTATGTTGTTCTGATTCTGAAGCTAATGAAGGTGAGGCATCGGTTCTCTGTGCTTCCAGGGAAGGTACTGAAAGGACTGGTTTAGCCGTAAAAGTAGAAAACCACATTGCGACAGACAATCTCAATTCATATAACGAGGGTTCTATACACCATTCTACTGAAGTCAATACTGCTGAACCTTGCGAAAAAGTCTTTTCACACGAGTTTGAAGTTCCTGTTAGAAATGCTGTTAGCCATTACTCAGAGACTACAAATCAGATATCTAATGGTGATATGGACTTCAACTATCGTCATACTGAACATTATAGAGACGAAAAGATGCTTGAAATTCATGAAATACAAAATGATCAATCGGCTGTTGAGCAAGCATCTGCAACACTCACTGAGATTTGTTCGACATCTATTGAGTGTTCTGGTTCACAAACTCCTCATACAAGCAAGGTCTCAATTGAAGTGGTTCACCAAATGTCAACCCAAAAGACAGAAGATGATTCTTCCCAAGGCAATGGGCTTGAAAGCCATGAAGTATTTGTCTCTGCTCCAGTTGACACTAACTGTGATCCTTCTTGCGGGGCATTTATCGACAGCAATGGACTTTGCAAATCGAAGGAGGTCATAGCTGGTCGTCTTGGAGTTGTAGTGGACAGTCTCCAGGATTGAGCTTGCTTTTTACCTCGGAGCCGTTTTGATCTGAATCACACGTGTAAGTTGTGTCCTGGAAGGCCTCAGTAATTGCCAAATCCTCGTAGCAATCCGGCTTTGACAATTGGGTCGATGACTTTTGGCACAAAGGAACACTGAATTGCTTCATTTATCTGGTTGTTCAGTATGGTTATGGCAGGGTGTATTCTTGCGGTTCTTGTGCTGTGTTAATTTTCAAGCCGGCTAGTTGAACAGTAAAAAAGAGGTGATTTTGATGGCAGATATTGACTTGATTCTGTGACAGATTAGAAAATCAACTTACTTTTTCGATCCTTCATTGTCAGGTGGTAAGAGCATAAGCTGCCAGTCGTGGAGGAAATTTTGTTGGCGGGTATTATTGAAGGTTAAAATACGTAATTATTTTTTGGATGGTAGATCGGCTATAACAGCATATTAACTTCTTGGCGGCGGTTTGTAGCTTTAGTATGTTATGACTTGGTGGTTTGTGTATTATGGTCTCCCCATGCTCATTGTAAATATAATACGATTCATCAAACTTTGAAAAATGCATTTTAATGTGAAGGAGCATTCTTAATCTCCTTTTTTTTTTTTTTTAAATGCTCTTCTATGTTAATGTTTATGAATATTTAGTTTAGGTGTTTGATATGAGTAAATCGACAGGCACGCAGAAAAACGGCAATACCTGGAAACGACAACTAAAATGAAACGACAGAAACACATGAACGACAGCAGATTTAAAACTATGAAACTAATAAACGACGGAAACACGTAAGCGACAAAAGGTCTAGACTAAAAGAACTAGGAAACTATAAGACGACACCTAAAGAACTAATAAAAAACGACATAGATATACACATACGACAAATAGTGGCAAAAATATAAAACGTTCAGCTACTGGGCCCTCTTATTGGGTTGGGCTTTGTTTTTTCTAAGCCCGAATTTGGTCCCTCCCGAGACCAACAGTATAAAAGAAGAAAACAAGTTTTTGCGTCTTCAAGTTAGGGTTCTACCATTGGAGGCTTCTTCACCAACTCAACGCCCACATATACACAGAAGTAGCTTCTTCAGATCTGAAGCCCTAGCCATGGTGAGATATTATAGCCACTTTTTCTACGTTCCTCTCTCACTTTGCATATCATTTCTTTGTAATTTTTTGCTAATTGAAACTTTGCGCTTGGGAATGTGTAGTCGCTTGTGACGAACGAAGATTTCCAGCACATTCTTCGTGTTCTGAACACGAACGTTGATGGAAAGCAGAAGATTATGTTCGCTCTCACCTCCATTAAAGGTATTGGTCGGCGATTCGCCAACATTGTCTGCAAAAAAGCCGATGTCGACATGAACAAGAGGTAAAGCTTTTAATTTTTGCTCTAGATATTTCTCATTTTATTGATATAATTTGTTGTTGCCACAATGTTAAAGGGGTTAACGGAATTGCATTAATTTTTTTTTTATTTTTATTTTTGTGGAGTAGATAATTAGCAACCAAATGAAAGAGTTTTATCATTTTTGGGATTCTAGGTTTTATTTCTTTGTTCTCATGCCAAATTTATGTCGTGATTTGCTGAATGATTCATATTTTTTGCGTTTGTTTGATTCCTAAATCGTCTCTTATTGGGATTTAACTTGTCCAAGTAATTTGATGGGGCAATCGTTGTGAATTATCGGTCTTGTCAATTGTTTAATTTGTTTATCGTATTTTATTTAACTGATACACTTGGCAAGTAAACGAAGGAAGTTTACAATTCTTGTATTTCACTTTTGAAAGACTTTCTGACTTTCTCCAGGGCGTACTCTATAACTATGCACTTTGTTTCCTTTTGTTCAGTTTCTTAATCTGTCTTGTTGGTCGTGTAATTTGAGGTCTTGTGTTTTTAGCATAATGGAATGGGATATTTGCTTATTTGGAGCTTTGGGGTTTTGATTTTCGTTTTTTCCGTTTTGTTTTGTAGAGCCGGTGAGCTATCAGCTGCGGAGCTTGATACCCTCATGACGATTGTTGCCAACCCTCGCCAGTTCAAAATCCCTGACTGGTTTTTGAACAGGAAGAAGGATTACAAGGATGGAAGATATTCTCAAGTTGTGTCCAATGCGTTAGACATGAAGCTGAGGGATGATCTTGAGAGATTGAAGAAGATCAGGTTTGCTTCCTTGTGATCATCACTTACTGTTAGCTTTCTTGTACAATGTGTCTGTTATCTAATTGATGATGTTGTTCTTGTGACAGGAACCACCGCGGGCTTCGTCACTACTGGGGTCTTCGGGTGCGTGGGCAGCACACTAAGACTACTGGCCGCAGGGGAAAGACTGTTGGTGTCTCCAAGAAGCGATGATCTGGTTTTGCATTTTTTTTCTTTTTCTCACTATGGATGTTTTGTTCTCATGTTACGAGTTTTACTAGTTTAGTTTACGGGATAATTTTTGGATGTTGAGTAGTTGCAACTTCACATATTTCCTTCGAGCTTATATGCGAAGTGTAACAAGTTTTCTTCTTTCTTTAGTCCCACTAGTTTTATTTCGACTGAAGTATGTAGAGAACAATGAATGGCTTGTTATCTTGATGAATTTTATGGAAGGAAGTTGAGAATGAGGAATAGTTTTTTCTAAGTTTATCTTTTCTTTCTCCGCGCCGCATGTGTTTCTAGCTTTGATTACTCTAGGACTTATTTTCTGTGAAAGAGCCACTTGGTTAGAACGGAAAAATCACTGAAGCAGTTCAGTTGATCGTACAAGCTCCATCTATTCACAAAAGCTAGGTCCTTTGCATTTGGGTTAAACCAAAATGGCCTTTTATCAAGGCAAGAAAGAAATGAATGATTTCATAAATGTCCCCGGTGTACCTTTTATCAACATGCTTCTTGTTTGTTTGTTTGTTTTTTTTTTGTTTTTTTGTTTTTTTTTTTGTTTTTTTGGAAATGGTTCATTTTTACCCTTAGATAAATGCTCTTAACATGGTACTAATGCTCTTACAATTGAAAACCACATAACCTTGTATGTGCCGCTTTTTTGTTGATATTGATTCATTTCATCCTTCGAATGAAAGGAGACAAATACCTAAATGTGCATGGGTTAAGATTTGTATCTTTACTCTTGATTAATAATTTTTTTTAGTCAAAAAACTATAATAGCAAAAGGGTATTAATCAATGATGACAGGTAAAAATTTAGACCTATATATTTTTAAGGGTAAATTCTGCAATTTTCTCTTAGAAAAATCTTCAAAAACTTATGTAATTACTCTAAACAAGGCCGTAATGCAATGCTGTTGTTGATGGTTTAAAAACCATAAATCCTTTGTATCAACACGCCTCTTATTTCAAGGGTGGTTCACTTTACCCTGTTATTTACATAAATGCTCTAAAGAAGGCCCTTCTGTTCACTAACTATTGCTCTAACGGAAGGGTTGGTGTGGCTTAGGTTTAAGAGTTGTTGGGTTACATTTACTCAGAATTTGTACCCTTTCTCTAAAAATGATTAATTATGAAGACACGATGATTATGATGATGAACAATCACACACGCTTACGGGACCCCATCCTCCCCCAGCCCAAACGGCGATCCCTGTTGCCCACACCCCACACCACCCACCCCCAACCAAGATCTCCCTTTCCAAATGCATTTGGTCCCTGTACTGGAATTCTCATTGTTGTTAAAAATTAATTATTTTTACATTTGTAAATTTGGCATTAATTAGTAACAAATGTGGACGCAAAGAGCCTATTCTGGATCATTTTTGTAAATTAAGAGGCAAAATAAACCCTTAAGCATGTGAATGGGAATTAATATAATTAATGTAAAAAATAACAGAAAACAATCGTGAAAATGTACTCTAATCTCAGGTAAGTGGAATATGCACTCTAATCCTGGTCTCTGGACCATGGTTATGCTGGATCTTCCGGTTGAGATATGTGGAAGAAAAATAGTGCAACGGCTGCGGGGAGCTTAGGATCATGGGCTTGGGTGTGCGGGTGATTTGTTTGTCGCAGTGTTGATGGCAGATCGCAAGTTTTGGGCTCCGGATTGAGTCCAACATTAACAAAGTCAGTCCTATGTTAAGTAAGTTTGGGACAAACAATTTGAGATTTCGACAGAGAGAAGAAAAAGCCTAAAGAAAAAAAAAAAAAAGCTATATATATATATATATATATATATACTAATATTGGAATGATATAGTTAGCTACATTTCGGAGTCTAATTAATATGATTGAAAACAATAACAAAAAAGCTATATATATATATATATATATATATACTAATATCGGTGGGCCCGTTTAGTTCACTGATTTGAGTTTTTAATTCGAATTGAGATGTGATTTTATATGAAAACTTTTTACTGTAGCAAAAAAGTTAGATGTGATTGTTTGTGAGAGCTTTTTACTGTAGCAAAACTCGAATTCTAAACTCGAATCAGCGAAATGAACGAGGCCTAAATATTACTAATCTTGAATTCTTGATTAATGTGTGTTTCTAGCATAACTCCATATTTAAATCCTTATTCCATATTTCAGAAATCATCACACTAAATTACTAAGAAAATAGGTTAGAAAAAATACCTGTCTCCATTAGTGCAGCCTTAATCTCCAGTAGAATTCTCTAAGACAACGAGCACGTTGAGTTATTGTCTTCCTCAATCAAATCACCAGATTCTTGAATGGGGTGTTTTCTCTCTAGATGGGGAAGAAGGAAAATGGCCGAATAATTTGACGTATTGGGGACTATAACCTAAGTTTCTTTATATACTGTCCCATTAGGCTTTCATTAAACATAATTGGGTCAATATTGGGTATTCACTCATTTAGCTCATACTCAGTTAAGAGACTATTGGGCTCTCCATAATTAGACCGCCTAATTAATTAAATAGCGTTAATATAATTATTATAAATGTGGTCCATAATTATTATTAGGAAATATAATTTCCTAACACATACTATCAGCAACTTGAGTTACTAAATAGAGGGAAAACATATTTATATTTTTTTTTTTAAAAAGACGAGAGCAAGATTCCCTTGTAAAATTAGTATAAGACTTTGGCCTCTAGTTAGTTCAAGTATTTTGTCCGTATGTGTGTATTGGCTGTGTGAAGTTTGCCCAGTTACCGAAATGTACACACCGATTATTCAATACATGATAAATTGGCAATATTATTCTCGTCCTTGTAAATCATATATGTCTTTTTTACTTTATCTATCATATGTGTACATATATCCTGTTCACTTCCTATTATTCTATCCGTGGGGAGTTCTAAAATCCCATCAGATCAAGAAAATAATTATACGGGTTTCTCTTATGGGGAAAGAGGAAAAAAATAGGTGCACGAATTTCCAATAAAATTCGTCGCTTGGACACTAATAGGATAATTTAATATTTTTTTGTACCTATCACACGCAAACATGGAAAAACTTACTTGGCAAAGTACTATGGAAAGATAGTTTTAATATGTTTGGATCTGTACTTTTTAATGTTTGGGAAATTTCATTCAAGACTTTTTCTACTATTGAGCTCGAATGGAATATGTCACATGCAGCTAAAACTATAGTTTTGTTCAAATTGGTCATCAAGAAATATTAATGTACAAAAAAAAGGCATTAACCGACAATTAAATTAACTAATAAACTGAAAATTTTGTTTTGTTGGAGACACGGCAAGTTTCCAAGTTACAGCGAAGAAAATGAAGCATTATATAAGTGACAAAAATTTTAAATTTCTAGAGGCTTCCCTTGAAACTAACATATGTTTGAATTAAACCAGCCTATTTCAAAGTCTTCTCTGGTTTTAAAATTTTGAAACCAGAACTAAAAAAATTTCCGGCCTTAAAAACCGCAATAAGCCGTGGACGTTTGGTTCATGAATTCATAATCATGATTCAAAACCATTCTCAATTTACGTGTGTTTTTTGTGAAAGAAAATACTGTAGCGAACCACGAACCTGATTCAAATCATGGCACGAATACACTAACCAAACGCTTTTACAAAAGTCTATTTCTTTGACTTTGATGAAGGAGATTTAAACTGTATACTTAGTATTTATAATGTAATCGGGTGTGAATTTACCGTTAATTAGGTTTTGTGCTTGCAACCACCTCTCAATCTAAGCATAAATGTACATGCTTTGCTTTTCAAATACATCATGCTATATCAAAGGCAAAATGAAACTAAATTTACTAAAAGAATACGCGATCAAATGTCACTAGTAGGACCAAGAAGAGTTGGAAGGATAACAATTAATACATAGCAACGAACAAGAAGTTAATTATTTGGGACCGAGTTTTGGTTCCCAAAATATCCTCTTTTTATATTACTAAATAAGTTATATCCAAAATCGAAAATAAGACAAATGATCATATTCATCTTCCCAAATCTTTATTGGCACCCACATTATGAATTTATGACCATTTTTGTACATGTACATATATGAGTATCATCATATGAACTACCTACCTTCCAGAATCTCACAAACGTCGGCGACCCCATCATTCTCCAGGCCGCCACCTCCCACCGGCGCCGGTGACGGCATTAGGCTGACAACCAGATCGGAGAAAGCTCGGGTGATGAACTTGTGGGTGCTCTTAGGGTTTAGGGCGAGGTAGCACAGGAGAAGCTCATGCAAGAACTCCCAATTATTACTATTACTATTACTATTGTTGGATTTACTCGCGTGATCCGAACGTGCCTCCAGCATCTCCTGCATGGACCGCCGGAAGTCGGCGTAGGGGTCCGGCGAGAACGTCGGCACGGCGATGCTGTTCCCGAAGAGCGTGACGTCAGCGCCGCGGCTCTTGCAGCGTGAGTCGACGATGGAGTTTGAGCGGCCCGGTGTGGAGAAGAAGAAGCGGCGGGAGGCGAATGCGGTGGCGAAATCGGCTGCGGCGGAGGCGGAGGAGGAGGAATTGTCTTCGTCGGAGGTGGTGTAGTCCTCTTTGTCAAGCTTGGCTTCTTCGTATAGAGAGTTGAAGTTTCTGATGATCAGGCTTGATGAAGGTAATGGACGGCTCTGATCTTCTGGTGTTTGTGGAGTTGGAGTAGTACTTCTGATTGGAGGCGATTGGGAAAACATGAGTGGAAGTTTGATCTTCGTGAAACAGAGGTTTAGGTTTAAGTTTAGGTTCCTTGTGTTTGCCATTCTCGGCAACTACACAAATACTGAACCAAAGTGAGAAGAGAATAATAATTATAAGTCTACTTAGTCGAGAGAGAGAGAGAGAGAGAGAGAGAGAGAGAGAGAGAGAGAGCTAACTAATAGAGAAGACTGAGAGAGCTAACTAATAGTGTCATTAAATGGGTGTGGTATTATAGTATGTACTTTGGGTCCAATGGCGACTACACAGTCGTAAAAAGTCTGTCCAAAGTGGACCGCAAAGAAATTGCAATGCAAAATTGAATCTTGGGCACGTTCATAACACGTTTTAATCGGACGGTTGATGAACGTGAGTTTATCAAACTTGATTGGAAACGTAATTAACTTGTTCTTTTCGACTAATTACTGAATAATAGCGCGTGAAGATAAGATTAATAATGTTGACACGGATAGACCAGCCTAATTAGTTTAGGATTTTGAGTCACCTGTAGTAAGCTGCACATGTAAACCAAGTACGAGCATCCACCAAGTCTCTCTAACAAAAAGGAAATTAATAATTTCATTAATGAATTGCCACCGATTTTTTTTTAATATATATATATATATTTCAATATTTGTTTCTAAATCAAAAATAAAACTGGTCAGTGTTGGTGGACTGTTTGATGCTTATACGATATATATAAACAATAGAAAAAGCGATGAATCATGCATCATATATATAGGAATAACGAAAATCGATTATATCCTTTGACTCTACATGAAGTCTGAAGATCGCCCAATTAGGACCCACGTCCTTGTTTGTAGCTGATCATCTTTGCTGATTATATATTTTCTTATTTCATGTCTGACATAGTACAGAAAGTAGCATCCTGGATTCCTTTTTTTTTTTTTTTTTTTTTGTTATTTTTACATCTAACCAATAATTTAAATGGGGTTTGCTAAAAAATAATTTTACTTTGGGATACACTTGAGTGATTCTCTGCAACTTTATGCATTTTTATTTATTCTTTTATTTATTAATATTTGAAACCAGCATATATGCATGCTTCTTCTAAGGTCCAGATTAGGGGGCTTGCCTTGGATCTCCAACGCTCTATATTTTGGCGGAAGAAAAGCATATTGGCCTTCCTTTGCTTTCAACTTAAAATGGACTCCTATAGGCTATAAGAGCCTATAACTGCTTCTTTAGTTACCTCTTTAAGGGGAAAAAAACATTATGGCACCAATTATTGCTTCTCAAATAGTGGGATTGAGTATTGGATTTATTTTTTTCCCCTACAAGTATCACAAGAAAATCATAAGGTGAAACGTGATAAGGTAGAAAGTGATATATACAGTAAATTTGTAAAGAATTAATGCCCAAGATGCTGTATATTCCAAACAAATTGATAATCTTTAAATAAACGTCTCATATGGATTTTAATTTTTAAGGATGTTTAAGGCATGAAAATCGACTGGTAAACAAGCAATAAGGATGGTCCAACTAACTTTAGAAAATGGCCGAAGCAAACCCACATGGTGGGTTGCTGCTTTTGCTTGATGTTTTTGACCAAGTTGCCAAATAAGATTATTCTTCCGATAAGAGAGAGAGAGAGAGAGAGAGAGAGAGAGAGAGAGAGATAGAGAGAGAGAGAGAGAGAGGGAGACAAACAACCATTACATTAACTGGCTAGGTACTCATGACTTGGTTTCTAGTCGCCTTGTTAACTCTCTTTGCTTCTTGTCACTCTAGATATGTGATTAGAGAAACGGACGCCTTAGCCGTAGTTTAAACTGCCTTTTTGTTTTAATATTGTTTTCTCTCAAAAAAATTTAAATTTCCATTCAAAACCTGACGGCTCTACAGTCGATCAATTGTAAGAAGTTAATTAAAAACAAAAAGGTTGTCTCAAAGCAATTGAAAAAGGGTTGTGTTAAAGCGAATACTGGATCAAGAAACAAAAAGAGATCTAGGAAAGTTAAAATTTTAAAAGGAAGCAATTACTTTTTCTCGTGGAGAAGGACGTTTCGTTCATGCATGGATCAATAGTGATATTACGTGACAACTGCCAGAGAAAGAAAAAAAGGTTTTCTGAGAGATCAACGTCAAACTGAGCTGACCAAATCGATGACCCCTGGTTGATATCCTGCATAATTGTCCTTCAACCTTAGCTTTTCTCTTACGAGTCCATGTAACATTTTTTTATGCTTTTCACGTGATAACCAAAATAATGCATAGTTCTATGGTCTTCACGCGCGCATTGGTTTTCATATATCTATATGTATATATAGAATTCATAGGGCAGGTCGAATATTTGCCGGAGCCAGAAAGTAAAAAAATTCTCAACCACATGAACATGTGATCGGTGATGTCAATGATATTGAAATCAACTTTTGATATACTTTTTTTTTTTCCAATTAAAACAGCGATACTTGATAGTTCCATATATTTCAAATTTTCAGTATGGTGCGTGTAGTATGTGTATATATATGTTCTGTATATGACTGATCATATTTATGATGAGGAAGACGTTAGTGATCAATTGTTTATGTCATATCACTCTCAAGTACCCGTCTCGACAAACATCGGATAATATTTTCTTCCAGTATTTATTTTCCAATGCCACGCCAATTATTTCAAAGAAGCGTTAATTAAACATATATTTAAGGGAAATAGTAGAAAATAGGCCAATATGAAAAGCTTAAGAAAGTATATAGGTCAACTTTTAGTTATAAAAATTAATAGGCTATGACTTGTCAAGTAATGGTTCATAACTAGATAAGTTATGGACAAACTTGTCAAGTTATAGTTCATAACCAGACAAGTTATGGAGAAAAACCGTGAATAACTTGTCAAGTTATGGTTCATAACCAGATAAGTTATGGACAAAAACAGTAATTTGGCCTATTTATTAACTTATGTAAACTATTGGCCTATTAATTTTAATTCATCTCAAGTCTTGACCTATTTTCCTCTTCCTCCCTATATTTAAAGCTACCAATTAATGCCCAGATCGATTTATATATATATATATATATATATATGTAATATATATCAAAAGAGTAATAAAACGTAAATCAGAATCCGTCTTAATTATAAGATGCGTGGTGAAAGAAAGCATCAATTTCCTCATTGAAAGTTCAAAGAACCAATCACATGACACCACAATAATGCAAGATATCTTGTTTCCACTAATGCTACCTCTTTAATTGATCTATTATTAAGTGGTGCTTAATGAATGAAGCTTCCAGAGGCTTGTACGGACATATATTAAGATTGTAATTAAGCTAAGCGTTTATATCAGATAATTGACAGGGGCTTCTAATTCGAAGCAAACAAGATCTTAGAGCTTAGCTGTAGCATATGCATTTGCTGGGTAACACTACATATATATAAAGCCAACAAAACAATGCAAAGAGCCAACAATGAGTGAAAGTTCCCTGAATCAGCACTAAGATATTTCTAACACTGTGTGAAGCTGTGCAAAATTATTGGCCATATATAATAACACATTAATATCAATTAAAAGTACTATTGATAGCTCCCCTAAAACGAATAAATTCCAATTATGTAGATTCCCCACCTAAAATCATCTATCACACGTACCAAAGCTTATCTTTAAAATTTGCATGCTTCTCTAGTACTATAGGAACATTATGAATTTTTAAATTAAAAAAAATACACATATATATATAATAATTATCTCAAATCCGACACCTAGACCCGTCCGGTAAATGTATTTATTTTTTATTTTTTATTCGTATTCTCGTGTATGTAACATCATTCCTTTGTGTGTGTAGCATTTAATTTGTTTAGGTGTAACATTTAAAAAATACAATTTATGTGAAATTGAGTGTGTTAAACTTAAACAAACAACATGTGTCGTACATGTAAAAATGATGTTACATATGCATATGGAAAAAAAAAAAATTACATTTGCCGGATTGATCAGGTACCGGATTTAAGACTTTAACAGTATATATATATGCATTTATAGTTGTTATAAGGTAATCCTTGGGCTGAGACCAACCCGGTTCCTTCGTGGATTTCAGACGGGCTTTTTTGGGGGCCCATCAAACTTACAGAGCCGAACCCATCTTGTACAATATCCTACTTAACGTTACACGTACAAGAGAAATAACTAAAGTTGTTTTTATCATCCAACGACATGGTGCTTTATTAATTTTGTTCCGTGTTTCAATACCTCAATTCGGACGCGTAAGGCTTTGTTTAGTTTAACAACTCCGACCTCGTTTATTTCACCGATTCGAGTTTAGAATTTGAGTTTTGTTATAGTAAAAAGCTCTTAGAAACAGTCACATCTAACTTTTTTGTTACAGTAAAAAGCTCTCACATAAAGTTACATCTCAACTCGAATTAAAAATTTAAATCAGTGAACTAAACGGGCCCTCAAATTATAAATTTAGTTTGTGTTGTGGTGATTTGAATTGTAATTTAAATCGGTATTTAAAATACGTAATAAATTGTAATTTAAATTGAGAATAAAATCCAATATATTTAAATAAAGTGTTACAAACTATTATTAAAATTTTATAACAAATCTTATAAAATCTCATTATAAACGAGGTTAAAAAATATATAATATAAATGGAGACTTATTTCTCTTTTCATTCTAAAAATATTTAAAAAAAATCATTTTAATCAGAATTAAAATGAAAAAATTATAATATTTTTAAAGTTAAAGTTGAAGAGAGAAAAAAAGTAGAATCCGAATTATTTTTACTGTAAAAAAAAGAAAAATCGGATTGTTAAAATTTAAAGAGGATTAATTTTAAAATTGTTAGAATTTAGATTGAACGAATTTTAAAATTAAGAGTTTAAACCATTATTAATAATTTAAATTATCCTTAAATTATCCTCCACAAAACATTAATTTAAATTATCCCCTACAGAACATTAATTTAAACTGTTTGAATGGTGAAACAAACATGATCTTTTCTACTGCTTGCATTCATTATACCAGGAAAAGGCACGACTTGGTGAGTGTGATTATAAATTAATCTTCTAATAAAGAATAAGCAACACATTAAAGATGTGAATTAGTCATTAAGATCGATAGTTTTCGTTGTCGGTTTCTACTTTGTAATCAAATTCATGATGGATTT